GCCCCTCCATGTCCTTGCCCGTATCTCCCTGCACCTTTGGTGGCAGGTCCTACTCCTGATAATGCCTCCGAACCATTGAGAAGATTACTCGCTTCTAGTTCGGCACCATCAGTGAGTCGTTCACTGATCCGGCCCCACACTGTTTTCACCATTTTTGCAGTTTTGTCCGCTTTGGCCATCTGGACTGCCAACCTTGCATTAAGCTTATTCATCTGTTCATACCCAAGAAGACACAATCCTTTAAGCATCAACATTATTACAAAGCAAAAGAAACCGTGCTGGCGACAATTACTTTTACACTGTGGGGGAACTTACCTCAATAACCATATCTTTCAATGATCCGTTCAAAGTATAGTGGCTATCCTCTTTGCCTCTCACTTCAATAACGCTATCGTCGCTATCAGATAGCAAAGTCCTTTTGGAATACTTTGTTCTTTTCCTGGCGCGAGAATGTGCAGAAGACCGGTCACTGAAACTGTCGCTGTCAGAATAGTCGGTCTGCGAGTCCCTGTCAGACTCAAATTCACTGGTGAGGTCACTCTCAGAATATGATTCATCGTCACGGGAGCGAGAAAGCTGTCTCTTTTTGAGAACATAGTCGCCCATGGCCACCGTTCGTCGGACAGCTCGACTCCTACTACGCGCTCTGCTTTTGCTCCGAGCCCGACTTTTGCTCCGAGCCCTGCTGGCACTCCTTCCTCTGTCAAGGCTCTTTTGCCTGCTCTGACTATGGGTCCTATCATTTCGAGGACGGCTTACACTTCGCGTACGACTTGAGCTGCGCCGGCGGACCTGACTCCGTCCGCGTCCCCTTGGGACTTCTTCTGCGTCATGCACGACACGTCCATGCGTGTGATCCAGGTTTTTTGCTGACAGGGATCTTCCTCTCTCTTCTTCTGTATTTGGTGCGACGCCCCGGAGTTTTGCAGCGATCGATGGAGATGGAGACGGCGCCGAGTTGGGATGCGTCACGGGTGACGTGGTTGGCTTGGCAAACGGGTTCCTATAACTGGTCCTGAGGGCTATAGTTGGTTTAGAATCTGTTTCACCCCTCAAAAGATGCTGGTAGAAAGAATCATCTGTTGTAGCAGAATCCCTTCGTCCAGGGCTACGGTCTCGGTTCAAGTAGGATAATGACGACATACCTGGGTTGGAGTCAGCATCTCCTGAGCGGTCTGTGGACCGAGTGCTTATAGCCAGGTCGGCTGCTGGTGCACGATTGTAATTTCGCTTAAGGCGTTGATCGTCCTTTTCTCGGTCGTCGTTGTCATCCCATCTGCGAAAATTACTGGAATAGCTGCGATTTGAAATATCTGCATAGTTGTTCGCTGCCAAGACAATCCAAGTAAGAGATAGACAAGTGAGTACGCGATCCTCAGATGGGAGGAGGAGCAATGAAACAAAAACAAGGCGAGAGGCCCTGTAGAAAGCTCACCTTTGCTGCCAGCAGGGAGGGAACCAAGTGG